AATAGGGGACCTTTAATATAAGATAAGATTAGATAAGAATTACTTTATTGATCCCAATTTGGGAAATGTTTGCGTTGCAGCAGCATAAAAAGACATGGCATTGTACAATACAAACTAAAAGTCTAGAAATAAATATTCCAAAATGTAAACATCTCAATAGAAATAATAAAGTCCTTCCCCAGATCCTTTCAACCCTCCAGGGACGCTGTATGAACTCTTTCCTGTTCTGTGTGTCTCAGATGTGGACGAGTGTGTGAGGAGCCCCTGCAGTCATGGAGGCACCTGTCAGGACCTGATCAACGGGTTCAAGTGCACCTGTCCGGCTCAGTGGAGCGGGAAGACCTGCCTCATCGGTGAGGCTGCAACCAGTCGACTTTTTAACTTTATTAATTCATTTGCAGATCATTTTCTCCATTGATAGTAGCTGTTTGATCTATAATGTCATACATATCCATCCATCAATGTGGATCAATGAGTGATGCGGTGATTTACCTGTTCCACATTTGATCACAAGTGAACACTCTTGGTCACGACGGTTTAAATTGTCTGGACTACAACAGATAAAGGTTTCAACGTTATACTGTATTCTGTTGGTTTTAGATGCAAACGAGTGTGACGACAACCCCTGCGTCAACGCCCACTCCTGCAGGAATCTGATTGGAGGGTATTTCTGCGAATGCCTCCCAGGTTGGACGGGAAAGAACTGTGACACCAGTGAGTAAATGCTAAATAATAATCAGTGTAATGAGGAGGAGATGGGAACAGAACCCACAGAAGCAATAACAATAATATGTATTCCTATGGGAACAAAAAGTTTTTGTTTTGAGACTTAAGTGTGTTTGTTCTTTGCTCCAAAAAGAAATTCTTAGATGCAACTCTTGGTCTTTCCCAGCTCTGATGTTGTTTACTTTGCTTAATCTAGTCAATCTGTCAGATAACTTGTAGTACCTGAATCATAAGATGGACTCCTTATCTATCCAATGCTCAAATGTTACATAAGGGTTAATGGCTCAGGAGTAAAAATCAACACAACCTGAACTTCACTTTTGAGTTTTCTTACTGTTTGTACATGTTTAAAGCCTATAATAACTGTTCCTTCAACAAGCTGAACAACACTTTAACTTCAACAAAAGATTACTTAAAACAACATTTGAAGTTTTGTTGGAGTCAGATGTGGTTTGCTAAATCTGAGCTTTGTACACAAGAAGATAAAAAAAGATCTTATCCCTGCTTCTTAGTGATTTGACTCTTTTCTGACCATAAGCTAAACAATTAGCTCTAAAATATATACAAATGTTTAACGGTGAAGTGAACAGCAGGTAGTTTTGTCTCCAGGTAGAAGCGCAACAACACCAAACCTCAAAACAAACATCTTATCTGATGGGAAACCAGTTTTTTTGTTTGTTTTCTTAAAGTTTGTATTACAAAAGCTCATAAAACTTGTTTCTGCAGATATCAACGACTGCCAAGGTCAGTGTCAGAACGGAGCCACGTGCAAGGTGAGCTGATACACACACACACACACACACACACACACACACACACACACACACACACACACACACACACACACACACACACACACACACACACACACACACACACACACACACACACACACACACTCCACCCCGATATATATTCTAATATGAATTGTTATTATGTCCCTGTTGTTGTGTCTCTAGTTCACAGATGACCCGACTCTTGCAGTGTGCAATGACAGCGGAGGATCAGTGTTTGAGCTGGCTTTCAGGTACATTTCTTTAGATAAAGAAAAGAAAATAACCTTTGTTTTCTCCCATAAGATCATCAAAGTGTTGGTCCACTGACCATTGGGCAGTGTGTAACACAATGTATCGCTCCCTCGCGGTTACAGGTGTTGTTCTCTTTTGCGAGGTTGAAGAGGCACAGTGTGTCCATTGGGTTGAAAATCTCTTTTTTCTCCTAAGCTTAGATAAACAAATGCACGCACATCAATGAACGCAACATTAATGTTTTTAACTCATCAGCTCCTGACTTGAAGTGATGTTTCTTTAATAAGACAACTGCATCTGACTGTGTTTACCTGCAGGAGGGTGATGGGGATGCGGTCCTGTGACTCACGCTGTCTCTTCAGTGGATCTAAAGGGGAGGTGTGCTGTATCGAGCCGCTGCGTGCCCCTCCAGACTTCAGAGACCATCCCATCACACACTACTCTCTGCTGGCCATGGCCTCCCTCACTAAGGTCCACACTGCATTCTCCTTCCTCTGCTCATCCACCCAGCTGTGTGTAAAGTTCCTCATGGTTTATTGCCTCTTCGTTTTCTTTCCCCAGATTCTGGTCATTGGACTGAAGCCCTCGCTGAAAGTCTGGATGACTTTCCCCTACAGCAAGGTCTGTATAACTGTGTGCTTGTTTTGTTATTAATGAGTGCATGCTGGTCCATATTCATCAACACAATGACATGAATAACTGACTGATTCTGTGCTGAAGTTATCATATAGTTCTTGACTGCACACTAAGGGTTGTGGATTATTCATCCGCTACCATCTTACTTACCCTTATCCTCACCCCTTATGAAAGACTGTGCCTATTTTCGTTACACGCCAGCAATGCAGCTGAGGCAAAAATGCCCTACAAGTTTGACTGAAAGGTTTTTTTTTTAAACAAGGTCAATTTATTATTTTTTTAATAAAAAGTCCATAGAAACTAAGAGCTACACTGTCCATACTGTACGTTTGTCTCCAGTATCTTCATTTTCTTATCATCCAACTCTTATCTAATAGTTGATTATACACCAGGTGAAGTAAGTTGCACCAAACCTCAAATGCTTTATCTGCGCCGTATGTAATCAGAAAAACTGTAATATACAAAAGGTCCAATATTGCTGTTCTGAGTTTGTATCTTCAGGGTTGTTCGCACTCATTGTTGGTGGCTTAGGATGAAAGCGTCAGCTCAATGAAATGTAATGTAATGTAGACGCACTACTTCCGGGTGAGTTTGGCCATAAAATGAAAATTATACTACTTCCAGCTGATGTCTAAGCAGGTCAGTGGAGGTCCCTCATTGACAGTGACGGGCAGCAGCAATTGCATCAGAGAACACGCCAATTAATTGTGAATTAGTTAATATCTTTGGCCAAATTTCCCTCACCCTTGCTCAAAAAGGTGCACATAAAATGTAAACCTCTCGACACCATACAACCTCCTCTAGTACATGGGTTTTCCAAATGTTTTATATACATTTTGAATTAGACCATTATTCACATTCATGTTTGTGTCTACCATAGTAAACTTTTTTATTTTCACATGGGTGATGTGCTTTGTGAACATTACTTTTAGAGGATAATTATTTACGTGTTTTTCTTTCCCCAGTCTGACCCGTCCAGTGTTCCTCAGCTGGCCTGGCAGTTTGTTCCTGTTCAGAAGATGCTCAACCCCGTCCTGGCTTTCTGTAAAGGAGACACAGTCCACTTCCTGCTGGTATCTGCTCAACTCCCTCTTTACTTCCAAAAAGCTAAATACACATTAGAAAGACATTTTGTTTACAGCATTAGTTCTGAAGAAGACCAAATAGAAATTACTTAAAATATTTCATAGATAAACATTGCTTGATAATACACAGTATTAATGTCATATATTATCGAATGTTGTCCTACCTCAGAATACGGACACATTGAAATCTCTGTGCATGTTGGAGAGATACAGTAATGTACAACATTGTTTTAGTCAGTTAGTTACAAGACAGTGTTTCCCAATACATACCCACATTATAAATAAATAAACTAGATTGTAATGTCATATGTCCTAGATGTATTGTGTTCTATATTGCGATAAAATCAGCAAGCAACAGTTGGTAGTGTTTGAATGTTCTTCTCTGTTTGTTCAGGTAAAGAAGGAGGACACGGGCACCATCCATGTCATCAAACAGAAACAACTCCAGCTCAGCTGTGACATCATCAGCCTGAGTGTAAGCCCTTGAGTTCTCATCTAATTGCAACTGTTTTTAATAAATAGCCCTCAATGTTAGGTGTTGTCTAAAAGCTGTGATAATGTGTAATTGGAAAAAACCCACCAAAACATAAAAGGAGTCGCTATAAGGAAATGTACATGCTACATGGACAGCATCAGGCCATGCTCCTGAGGCTGTGACAGGCCAGCCCCCTGAAACAAAGACAGGCCTTTCCTTCCTATAACAGTGAAAGTTCCATCACCGTACACTACACAACGTGCTCTGCCCCTGTGATTATAGTATTTCAAAAGCTTTGGCATTGAGTGTTAGGGGCCTGGGAAATGTACACTTTCAATTTGTCCTAGTGCACAATAATTCATAATGGACTTTAAGGTCCTGCTGCATGTTCTCCATGCACAATGATGCACAGTTTTGTCAGATAGTAATTGGTAAAAAACAAACACACAATGCAACAAACTCTTACCCTAAGAATGGACAAAATACATTTGTATGAAATGCTGGCTGTCTTCATTTAGCAACACGTGGCATGGAGAGCTCTACATAGGTATACATTTTCTTGTCCAACAGGTATATGCCTCTATTTATTTGACCAGATATGTTTCCTACCACCGGTGTGACCTAACTGCTGCTCATGTGTGATAGAGACGTTCAATGCCTTACTGGTTTCCCTGTCTCTGTGTCTCTGCAGTGGATTAACAGCCGTACCCTGGTCCTGGTGGACAGCCATGAGAAGCTGCAGGTTGTGGACCGGCCCAGTCAGGAGGTTCTCGAGACTCTAGACCTGGAGCAAGTGCAACTGGTTTATAACAGCCGACATTTCAAATCGCTGGCCACTGGAGGGAATGTCTCACAGGCTCTGGTGAGGGGTTAGCTGCCGGGGGACAGGATCAGATGCAGAGAGTTCAACATTTTATCGTCATCTAGTCCCTACGTAGTCTCTGGATAGTCTGTTTACATACCACTCATCCTGATCTCTCTCCACTGACTGTTATAATCACCAGCGAAGATTTAAAAATCCTCAGCCTGACATTCTCACACCATGATAGAACCACTAGAGCACCAGGTTTGGAGTAACACTCATGTTTTTCCTCTTCACACTGCCCTTCCCTTCCTGATGTAATCTGCCATTGCACATTATAGATTATCAATAAATCATTTAGGGACAAGGGGGTGAGATTAAATAAGTTATACTTCTTCTCACTCCTTTTCGAACACTAGATGTGGCACTGTTTATGTTGCTAATGCTGTTGTTGTTGTAAATGTCATTTTTTGTTTTGATTTTTCTTACATGACTATGCACTGCAACATTTGTTTTGTTTTGTAATTATTTATTTTACGTGTTCGAAATAAATGTATCAATCAATAACTACACTGTTAATGACGGAAGACTAAACCCAGAGTCCTCAGAACCAATGCATTCTAAAGTTCAGCTGAAGCTAATAAGAGGCTTTGTTAGTCTGAATGAATTTTACCCACATATTGACTGGAGCTGTGTGTGTCTTTGTTCTAGGCTTTAGTGGGGGAGAAGGCCTGCTACCAGTCCGTCTCCAGCTACGCAGGACAGATAGTCTATTTGGGTACCAAGGTAGTGTGTGTGTGTGTGTGTGTGTGTGTGTGTGTGTGTGTGTGTGTGTGTGTGTGTGTGTGTGTGTGTGTGTGTGTGTTTTTTCCTTTTGTGTGTTTGTGCACAACAGCAACATATGCCAAGTTTTTATATTTTAAGTTAAAATATTTTGACTAAATTAGGGGTTGCATATTAGTAGACTTAATTATTGTGTTACATTTGTTCAAAAACTCTTTGTATTGTATATATTGATCGTCTGATAATGTTGTTTGAGTCGGTGGTTGGTTTTATTTTTCTTAAAACTGATATTCTCTTGTGTTGCAGTCCGCTCACATCATGGCTCTGAGGAATTGGAGGGAGGTATGTATGATGTTATTTTAACTTAGTATTAGTGAAGACATCGATCTAACTATAGTTCCACTCAAAATAAAAAATTGCATATGTCTATTTAAAATATATATAGTTTTATTATCCCCTCCCTGGATAAACAGTTAATAATTATGTTAATAGTTATGTATAATTATATATCTTTGTCGGATACATCTGAAAAAGTTAATAGTAAATATTTATCTTCAAAACTTTGCTGAAGTACAGTATCAAAGTAAAATAAATTGTATTTTCACCAAGAATCAATACTTTTTAGTTTCTGCATTTTCAAATCTTAATGTTTTCTTAATAAATCTTCAATTTGAATCACTGTGAATAAACTGCCTTTTTGGTACAAATCCCTGAGTACAAGGTTTTGATAGAAGATATGTTTCCTCTTGACCTCCTTTTACTTGCACATGATTTCCTGTAAATCAGTAGACCATCCGCTGCTGGCGGTGCAGTTGTTCCATGTTCCCTCAGGATTATCAAAGACCCCATTACCCCAGCCACAAACTGTTCTGTCTGCTGCCGTCTGGCAGGTGGTACTGCAGCATCAGGACTAAAACCACCAGACTCAGGGACAGTTTCATCCCACAGGCCATAAGACTGTTAAACACCTGAACTAAGAACATCCATAACATTCATCTGATTGCAACTCACAAATTATTCAGGGTGTCCGCGGGGTCTTAAAAAGTATTAAAAATTGATAAATCAATTTAGCGAAAATTAAGGCTATTAAAAAGTATTAAACGGCATTTTCCAATGTATTAAGAAGGTCCACAGCAACGACAACATGAAACACCCTTTAATTGACTGAAACGACATGTCGGAAACCCCCTCAAGGCGGCCCCATGCATAGCGCGCCGTAAAATGCTGCTTCTTATTTTAAGTTTCGTTGCCTTGCTCCGCTCTGTGGGGAGGAGGGGAGGGGAGAGAGTCTGTTGATTGGGATCAAAACTGTCCGGTCCCACATGCTAAGTGCTAGCCAGAAAGCCGCGGCGTTTAAGTCCCGACTCTCCCGATGGCCAATCCGTGCCTCCCCTGACTGTACGTTGCTGACACACACCGCTGCAGTGCAGGCTCTCTGCACGGAGGAGCCTCGGAGGAGCTGCGGAGTCCGGGTGATGCTGCTCCTCCAAGGAAGAGACACATGTTCACTAAGCCAAACTATATCCGGTCACAGAGATCTGCTATTTTAAAGTAAAGTCAACACATATCGACCCTAAATATAGTCTATATTAAGAACGAGAAAAGTCTTAACATATATATCGTTTTTTGTAAACATATGACAAATGTGTGAGGGTGATGACATCAGAGCAT